GGAGAGTGGGGTGGGAGCTTTCACTTTTTACACAATTTATCATTGCCTAGTTGAAACACATACTGCTTTTGTAATTTTTTTTTTCAATCAAAATTAATATGAGCATCATGGTTATTGGTATAAGACGTCTGGACAGTTTTTTAAAAGTGCCCCAAGCCCAGTGAGAAAAATGATTCAAATGACTTAATCATATTTACTTTTCCACTTGTTTTGCAAGTGGGTAGACACTAGAAGCCAAGAAATGCTTTTATTTTGCATTTGTGGCACATCACTGTCTCACTTAAAGGAGGATATTGCTGTAGATTCCTAAATGTATCTCTGACCAATTTGGAAATGATCAGAGCAGTACTTTTAGCATGCCAACACTGATTCGTAAGGTGATACAATACAGATACAGTGTTTCTGTGGTACTGTCTACATTTGCTAAGAATTTTCATATTGTGAAAATGAGTGTCTTAGTATTACATGCTACTGAAGAAATAGATGTTATGTCAGAGATTTGCAGCGGTGTTGTCATGGCAGAGGCTGTTGCTGTCTTTTTCAAAATGCTGATTAGGAGAATTGTTGAGAGGAAAGAACTGTTAGTTCCCATGTTAGTTTTTCCAGCCACACCTTCACCAAAGGCCTGTGAGGTTTGTGCTGTGATTAGCATCTACATCTGCTTTTTAAACAAGGCCATTTGCTATCGGCAGTTCTGTGTCTTAGAATCTGGATTGGCCAAAACGTATTCAAAGCCTGTAATTAATTTTCTTCAACAGCAACAGATAAGGCATAATTGAAATAACGTTTAGGAAATTATGAAATGCAGTTAGTTTGGCTTATGATCACCCTATTGAAGACCTGTAGTAGCTTTTTAAAATCAATACCTGCTAGAAGATAGGGTAGTAGCTAATTTGTCATGTTGACTAGGAAAAGAAGTATTCAGAAAATGAGTTTTCCAGAAAATTAGCCTTTTAGAAACCAAGAATACTATTGCATAACAACAGTGATATCCAAAAGGACCTTTAAGGTGTCAAAAACTCTTACAGAGGCTCAAAAGAATAATAATGACAACTCTAGAACCAGATTTCCTAGATTCAACCCCTGTCTGCACCACTCGCTAATACTAACTGAGCTAGGTACTTGATTTCAAATTACATACATACGTATAATTTATAAATTATTATATGTGATTACTTTATGTTTATAATTATTGTATGTTACATAAACATTATATAGAATTTGCTATATATAGAAATATATATAATTTATAAAATCATCTCCTTCCTGCCTGAATCTGGACTAGGATATGGATGGAGTCTTCGAGCTCATCAGTTGATATTCTTGTATCTCTCTCCTGTACCTCATCTATTAAGAAACAGAGCAAAGGACATTGAGTAAGCCTTCAGATATGGAGAATAAGTTGATGTGAGTCTAGAATAGTACTCACTATATTTCCCATTAAATTAGTCGATCAGTCCTTTTTGGGAAAGACTTGATTTTTTTTTTAAGTATATCAGTGTCTCCCTTCCCCCAGTCTTTTCTTTCACTTCCTCTCCTTTTCCTTCCTACCATTTCCCTTTCTGCCCTTAAGGAATGGCACAGACCTCTCACAACTTCTTCATCTTAATAGGAAATTGACCCTGGTAGTCTGGATGTGAGCTGGGTACAATTCTATTTTATCCGGAACTAGACTTAGGTAAAATAATGAAATTGGAATCTTGAATGTCAGAGACTTCTTTCCATTCCTTTCCTTTCTTCAGTTTATCTTCTCTTCCATCTCCAGTTTTCTTGCCAGACTGGTACCTCATCAAGGAATTAATGTAACCTCAACAATAAGAGATTATTAGCATAATTGGTCTATAATCCATTCCCAAGAATGTTTACTTTTAGTTAACATCCTGCTTTAAAACACATAGTTTTTCACTCTGAAAGAATGTTTGTCTAAAGGAACTGTGAAGGAAGGTTTTGCCCACTGAAGGGAAGGAATAGGGGAGACAGTGATACAAGTATGACCATTAAATTTGGCTGTAGGGGTAGACTTTCAAAGACTTGAAAAGTATATAGGACCATTGGGAAAGGTCTTTGCTATACTTAAAGGAAAATACTCCATTCTGAAACACTGATAGCCACTTTCTTTGAATTCTAAACTATTGTTTTATGATAGTTCAGTATGTAAAGTATATATTTGGTATAGAAACAAAACCAAAATAATATAATTCAACCTCTTTGTTTTGAGGTCCATGTGCTATCAGTCTTGTTATTAAAAATATGTATATGCCACCCACATGTTGCTAATTTAGTTAAAGTCCTATAAATGGAATTGCTAAGTTTTTTTTCTTTCCTTACAGATAGTAACAACATATATGCATCTTATGCACTTTGCTCTCCCCTACCTCACCCCCCTGATGCACACTCAATATATATCTTGAAGGTCTTTTAAAGCCAACTCATACAGAATTGCTTCATTCTCCTTGTAAGGACTGCATATAATTCTAGTCTGTGGTCATACTACATTAAAACAGTCCTGTTGATGAGAGCTCAGGTTGTTTTATATTTTGTACTATTACAAACAGTGTTGCAGTGATTATCCTTTTACCTATGGCATGTCTATGAGTACAGGTCAGCATTTAAATTGAAATTGTTGACTCAAAGGATTTGTGACTTTTTAATTTCAATCATTATTACAAACTACCCTCTCTATAAGTTGTAGTGATTTACACTTCTTATGTATTCCTTGATCTTACTTCCTCACACTTCACAACACTCCCATGAGAAATGTATAAGTAATGAATATTTATCCACCTCCTCTTCAGCACAGCCTACTATTAAACTTTTGATCTTCAGCAATCTTTTAGGTGAAAAATAGTATCTCAGTGTAGCTAACTTAAAGTTTTATTGTGAGGTTGACCATTTTTCAGCCATTTCTTTGAACTGTCCGTGTCCTTTGTACATTTTTCTATCAGGTTGTTGTAGGTTTTCTTACTGATTTGTAGGAGTTTTCATGTACTCAAGAAATTTAGCCCCTTTGATATAGAAACTGCAAATATATTTCCTGATTTTCTGTTTGCTTTTGACTTTTTTATATGTTTATTTTTCCCATGTGAAAGTCTTTATTTTTATGTCATTAGATTTACTAGTTTTCTATTTTACGACTTCTGGGTTTTATGACATTCTTAGGCCTAACTTCATTCCATGAGTGTTTTCTTCCAGCACTTACGTTTTTTGGTTTGGGGTGTTTGGTTTTTTTTTAATACTTACCTCTAATTTAAGTATGATTTATGGTTCTAACTTTACTTTTTTCTGAGTGGCTATCTAGTTGTATCAAGATCATTTGTTGAATAATCCATTTCTCCTCCATCTGAAATACTACATTTTAACACAGTACAGTCTCAAGAATAGTAGTGTCTCTCAGGTATAAAAAGAGTGATAAACTCTTGAAATGGGCATTTTCCTAAAATGCATTTTATTTAAATAATATAGTGAAGAAATGAAGAGGGGTAAATATTGAATGTAACCTTAACATTTTGCCCAATATATCTTGATATCTATGTAATTGGATCAGAAATTCAGCAGTTAGAAAGGCTAATAGAGTCATTGTTTTATATAAATGGCTGCATTTGTGTTAAGATGATGTATTGAATAGAAGGAATGTGGAGGTTTTTTTCTTGCATTTATTACGGGCTAATAAAATTAAGACATGCCTATGGCCAGACCAGTGAATTGAGTGCCTCCTCTAGTGAAGGGTATAGTTAGAGCATTGCTGTGTTCAGTGTAAGTGTATTGGCAAGTGTATTTGAATCGACATCTTAAGTTACCCCAATAAAGATTTTCTTCAGTTTTGTCCTGCCTGCTTAATTTTTAAAAATCCACTCTGCTCAAAAGGTTTTCATTCACTTGGACCAGATTTTTTGAATTGCTGCCACATATCCTTCTCTGTCTGCAAACCACCCCCCCCCTTTTTTTTTTCTTTAAAAGGAACATCCTGAAGGACTTTTGGAAGCAGTAGAGGGTACAAATAATATTTGTATGTAGTTATATAAGCAAGGGTTTAATATTTAGATGTGTAAACTTCAGGAATTTGGGGGGGATTTTTTTGTTGTTGTTTTTTTTTTAGAAACCAGATTGATAGGACATGAGCCTTAAAAAAAAAAAGTTATTATTTTAGTTTTGTTTCTCTAATCACACAGTATTGGGGAAAAGATGGACCTTTAATACGTACTTGTCACTTTTTGTTAACCACACTACCCTGTCACATCAAATATAGGTTTCTAGTAGACTCTCAAGTACAGGGTTCTAGATTTACTATGTCAAAGGGCAGGGTTCTAGATTTACTATGTCAAAGGGCAGAAAACCTTTATTTGTTAATCAGTTGGGCTTCTCTAAAATATAAGCAAAATTGATAACATACTATAAATAAAAGATTTAAAGCAAACTCGCAAAGTTAGTTTCTCGAAGATTGTTTTACTCAGCCACAGAGAAAACATGCCCTGCAGTACTTTCTTTTATGGATTTAAGTAACTACTTTTTATTTTTCATAGTATTTCTTCTATTGTGAAGTGTTATTGTAGATGTAATAATAATTAACACTCCTTTCAACTTAAGACATCTAGGCAGAGGTTAGTGAGTTTTCATTTCCTGACAAGATACACAGGGGTTGATGTTTTGGTTGGTTGAGTTTTGGATGTACAAACACATTGGTCTTATTTTGTATCAGTGACAGTCCACAGGGTTGGTTGCTATGTGCTGAACTTTCTGTTCTAGACTTTCTGCCAAGTACTTTATGCAAAACTCTGGTTTTAGTGAAACAGGTTTTATTGTTTTTAGTCTGTGTCATATTATAAGCTCTTGTCAGCCATATGATGCAAACAGAGGAGTTGGTATGTATATATGGCCATGAAAACAAACCACTAAAACAAGCCTGTCTCTGTTCAACTGGTTGTTTTTCCTCCCATTCCTGTAGCCTCAGTTCATGTTGTTTACTGCTGAGAGGCCTGAGATGGTGTAATTTTCTTTTCTAGGAACTTGGAATTAGAATTCCTCGACCACTAGGACACGGACCAAGCAGATTCATCCCAGAAAAGGAGGTATGTTGTTTGTGAAAGTACATAGTGAACTGTATGCTTTTAAGGAAAAGCTTTCATGACCCACATCTTGGCATCTGAACAACTGTTGGACAACAACATGTTTTGCGCATAGTTGATCGCAGTTAATCATCATGCTTTGGCAGTGAATCTGTGGGATTAGAAAGCTGTTATAGTCATGTTGATTTCTAGTATTTCATGACGCTTTTCTAACACCCATATTTAATCTAGGAAAGGCAAGACTTGTTTTTGACCAATAATACTCCATCTCTTTATATTTAGATGTTTAGTTAAGTGCATGCTCATAAGCTGAGTTACTTGGTCTTGACCATCTCCACAGGCTGGTGTCAATGCTAGATTGGATGTTTAATTCTAAATATGTAAAACTCCTATGCTTTAGATCTCCTTAAATTTTGGTTCTCCTTAAATTGAGACTAGGCGTTATAAGGAAAGGGTAAAGTCTTTAGAGTCCGTTTGCAAGCTCTGCAAATTTGATAATCTAAATCTGCTTCTTTATCTGGATTCTGGCCAAGTCTGCAAGCAGCCTATCTAGGTGGCCTTTAATGTTCGGCCTTTGTTGTTTATCTACTACCTACTACATAATATTCAACTGTTTATTCTTCTGTCTTGCTGCTAGTTGAGTTAAAGTTTCAGAATTATAACCTTTCTCTCAAGCCAAATTTAACCTGGTTGTAGATGACACTTAAAAAAAAATACGTATGCACTGCATTCTAACACCAATTTACAATTTATGTAACCATGGTTTTCCTCTCTTTCATACAGATTCTCCAAGTGGGAAGTGAAGACGCACAGATGCATGCTTTATTTGCAGATTCTTTTGCTGCTTTGGGTCGTTTGGATAACATTACATTAGTGATGGTTTTTCACCCACAGTATCTAGAAAGTTTCCTAAAGACTCAACACTATCTACTGCAAATGGATGGGCCATTGCCCCTACATTATCGGCACTACATTGGAATAATGGTTTGTAAACGTTAAATGAAAAATTCCTTCTTCCTCCTTTATTAATCGTTTTAAGAGATGGTTAATGCTTTAAACACAGGGATGAATACTTATATTCTGACTTCTAATTGGATTCCTGTTAGGTAGTATGTGGTTTTCCTCTTACTAAATAAGTGTACTCTCAGATGTATCTGTAAAAAGAAACAAGTGTTTATACATTATTAAGAACCATTTTCCATTAAATGAGAATAAAGAAGAACACAGGATCTATTCCACTGTTACAAATAGTTCACATTGACCTAAGTGGTACTACTCCTGTTCGATTTGTAAATTATACTCCATTATTTTATGGTTGGCACCTTAATTGAAGTTTGTTAATCTGAGGATCTGAAAGTTATATAAATACAATTCCTAAGGCTCAAATACTTTTATCAGCTATTCAGTTTGTTTTGGGGATATTTCTGAGGTCTTTCTATGGTGTGTGTGATTTTTTTTAATGTTTATATGAAACTGCATTTCTGTGGTTTATGAAAAATTTGCAAACGGACTAATCAAACACTTGCTGTTTTACCCATTATAAAGGAAAAATATTCATAGTTTAAAATTTTAATATTTATAGTTAGATTGATCTTTTTGTTTTCTCTTAAGGCTGCAGCAAGACATCAGTGTTCCTACTTAGTGAACCTCCATGTAAATGATTTCCTTCATGTTGGTGGAGACCCCAAATGGCTTAATGGTTTAGAGAATGCTCCTCAAAAACTACAAAATTTAGGAGAACTTAATAAAGTGTTAGCCCATAGACCTTGGCTTATTACCAAAGAACATATTGAGGTAAGTAGAAGTGTAATGTATCTAAGGTGTCACTTAAAAAAAGATTTTTTTTAAAATAGACTTTAATCTTTAGAGCAATTTTAGGTTTACAGAAAAATGGCACAGAATATTCTCATATTCTACCCTCCTGAGACTCCCCCCAAGTCTCTTTTATTAACATCTAGCATTAGTATGATAACATTTGCTATAATTAAAGAATCAATATTGATCAATTAACTATTAACTAAAATCTGGGGCTTACCTTATGGTTCACTCTTTGTGTTGTATAGTTCTATGGGTTTTGACAAATGCTAATGTCATCTATCCACCATTACACTATCATACAAAGTCGTTTCACCGCTCTAAAAATCCTGTGGGCTCCACCTATTCATCTCCCTCCCCTTTTCCCTGAAACCCTGCAACTACTGATGTTTTTACTGTCTATAGTTTTGCCTTTTCCAGAATGTTACATAGTTGGAATCATACCGTATGTCATCTTTTCAGACGAGCTTCTTTTACTTATCAGTATGCATTTACGGTTCCTCCATGCATTTCCCATGGAAAATTTATTTTATTTATTACTGAATAATAATACACCAGTGTATGGAGTTACCATAGTTTGTTTGAAAGCCATCTTGGGTTACTTCTGGTTTTGAGCAGTTACAATATAGCTGCTATAAACATTCACATGCAGGGGTTTTTTGCTGAACATAAGTTTTCAAAACAGGTAAATAATTAGGAATGTGATTGTTGGATTGCATGGTAAGCCTGTGTTTAGCTTTGTAAGAAACTGGGAAAAGGTCTTCCAAAGTGACTGTACCAGTATGCATTCCCAGAAGCAGTGGATGAGCATTCCTATTTCTCCATATCCTCACCAGCACTTGGTGTATCAGTGTTTTGGATTTTAGCCATTCTGATAGGTGTAAAGTGGCATCTTGTGTATCTTTTTAAAATGCCATTTAAATTAGTGCCTTCTGGTTCTAGGTAGATTGACATTCCCTAAAAGTATCTACCATGCAGTAGAAATACAACATATTTTTGGGCTTATCTTTCTATTTCATAAAACATTTTCAATACTATTATATAATTGAAGCATCTTATTAAGATATAAGATCTGAAATTGATTAACGTAGTATCTATTATATTGTCTGGTAATGCAAAATTACACAGGATTATAAAACAAATAATGAAGCAGAAGGGATATGATATGCAAGACTTTGAAGAATCATAGACTTTACCTTGAACATAATTTTTTAAATAATTATAATTTGATGATTTAGGAATATGCAGAGTCAAGTTCAAACTACTGCCTTTAAAATTCCTTGAGACAGTTTGATAATAAAGAAAAACACAGACATATTTTATACGGTAGCTTCCACTTTAAATACAGATTTATTACATTTAGATTGAGACTTTGAACTAACAGTGAAAGCATTCAGAATCCGACATCTGAAATATGGCAACTGCTTTTAAACAAAAAGCATTCTATTACATTTTAAAATCAGGATTTCAGAAAATCAAAATAATAATGAATATGTCATTATCAGGTTATGTTAAGCTCTGTTTGTAAATACATAATTCATAAAAAATTATATTAGCAAACTCTGGGTTCTGTGTGTCTCAAATTATAATTGTACCCTAGGTTTTATACAGTGACTACTCCTGTTTTTAAGTTTATTTATTTATTTTGAGAGGGAGCACATGCGTGCACCTGCACACATGAGCAGGGGAGGGGCAGGGAGAGAACTCAAGCAGGCTCAACGCTGCAGGCTCAACACTGTCAGCTCAGAGCCTGATGTGGGGCTCAAACCCATGAACCGTGAGATTATGACTTACGCCAAAATCAAGAGTCAGATGGATGCCTAACCTACTGAGCTACCCAGGTGCCTCCTAATCCTGTTTTAAATAGATTAAATACCAAGATGAACTATTTACTTTTACCAACACCATAACCAGTGTAAAAATATGTTCTTTTTTTTTTCTTAAGGGACTTTTAAAAGCTGAAGAGCACAGCTGGTCCCTTGCAGAACTGGTACATGCAGTGGTTCTCCTCACACACTATCATTCTCTTGCCTCATTCACATTTGGCTGTGGAATCAGTCCAGAAATTCATTGTGATGGTGGCCACACATTCAGACCTCCTTCTGTTAGTAACTACTGCATCTGTGACATTACAAATGGCAATCACAGTGTGGATGAGATGCAGGTCAACTCAGCAGGAAATGTTTCAGTAAGTATCTATTATTTGTTACAGGATTATCAAGACTAATCATAATGATTGCTGCTATATTATTTTTTCATGTGACTTCTTAGAAAACCTACCCTGTTAGGCCCCTCTACCTGTTCATTCAGCAAGTATTTACTGACTGCCTATAAATGCTCAGCAGTTTAGTGCTAAGGGACATATAAAATTATAAGACCCTTTAGGAGGTTACACTCAAGTGTAATTTTAGGATCAGGAGCCACCAGCATATGCCCCATGAGAGCCAGCTAGTATTGAATGGGTGCTGCAGTGAGATGAGGGGAGGCTGAGACCATGCAAGTTAGTGGTGGAGACTCCCTGATGCTGATCACATTCTTTTCCTCTCTTTTGCATAAAAGAAACAGGCTGGTTTCTTAATTATCTTTTAGAAGAGTTAATCAGCCTTTATCTAGAAATTTCTCCTTTTAAAATTCTTTTTCATGTTTAACTTGGCACAAATATATATATAAGTGAAAGTAAATTTATTAAAATGTTTTCTATTCCTTCTCTGGGTTTTATATTTTCTCAATTTTGTTATTCCCTTGAAACAGATTAGAACAAGTTGAATGTTCTATAAGCAGATTTTAATTCCTGAATACAGTGAGTCAAAATCCCCTTTGCATTCTTTTGCTATAGTGAAAAGATTTCCAAAGAGAAATCACAGAAACAACATCACAGTCTTCTGAATACTTTGCATGCATACATTTTCTCGGTTATATTATTCCTTTGAAACAGATTTGAACAGGTCGAATTACCTTTAATGTATATATTTGACTGTGGGCAGGTTACCTCCCTGAGCCTCTGTTCTTTCATGTCTAAATAGAGGTCAGACATAAGGTTATTTGAGGTTTAAATGAAATGTCTCTAAAGAAATAAAAGGCCTAGTACAGCTGGTATTATTTATCAGGTGCTAAATAAAAAGTAGCATTTACATATGGTGAGATTAGCACATGAAGGAAAATAATTTTCCCAGGATTGATCACTTGTGAGCTGATCACAAGGCCCAAGACCATCAGCTTCACCCTGTTGAGCCACCTGGATTAATGTTATAGGCTGTAATATTGGCCACTGATCATTTATTAAAACTTATATGAGATGGTCTAAGGGAAAATATATGTATTAGTTGTTAGGATGCTTGGAGTTGGATTGTGGTCCTTCCCCACCTTTGATTTAGGACAAGGCTGAAGAAAATAATGGGGTTGGGGGTAGTCTTACAGTGCCTTTGAAAGGGCCAGAACTTGCCTTAAATCTTCCTCAACCACATAAGTATTTCATGTATTAGTGCTTGAGAGAATTTGAATGTAGGGTGGGTTCAACTACACAAAAGGAAAAGATATTTACCACTTCTTTTTAATATGAAGTAAAGAGGCCACCTCTTAGTGCTAAAATGGTATGTAGTACATGAACACGCCTTCTTTCATTACAGAAAATTCCAAAATTTGTACTTTTTGTGTGGGAGTGTAGAAAGGCAAGAATGCTTTCCTGAACAACGGATGAATTAGCAGTAGCTTTAGTTTGTTTGTACGTAGGTACAGTTGGAGCACTAGGTATGTATGTACTCTGGACTACTTAGAAGTAGGTTTTTGAATGTAACAAGTCAACTTGAGTTGTAATATATTTTGGGAAATCAGTACACATTGTGACTGTAAACATTGTACTGTAAATGTTCTGTAGTTTTTCCCTAATAAAATTTTTGGGGTAAAGGGTAAAAAAAAAAAAAAAATAGCACAAGGCTAAAAAAGTACTTGATTGTCTCTAGTTATTCCTCTGTTACATGAGGTTAGTAGTAAAATAATAGAAATTTTAAATTTCTCTACTAGTCCCTGAGTTTGCTATTTAAAAGGTTTATGGCCCACACTGAGGGCACTTGTCAGTGAGCTAATATAGTTTATTCTTCAGGTACGTATCAGATGTCTGACTCAGTTCAATTCAGATACAAGTGGTTAAAAAACCAAAAGAATTTCCTCATACAATATTAACATTTTAATATCAAAATTAAATGCCTTTTTTTTTTTACACTAACAACTTTAATAGATTTTTTAAGGAGCAAAAGAAATGTACTTTATTTCCTTTACTTCTTCACTTTAAATCAATCAAGAATTGTCTTTCATAAGAATACTTACAATTTGGGCTGTTTTAGGAGAAGGTAGCTACACAGAACAGGTAGTATAATGAAGGATAATGTGAGTTGACAAAAACCTTAATATATATATATATATATATATTTTTTGGTAAACCTTGGGTCATTCTTTTCAGCCCTTTATTTGGCCACCGACTCTCTCTTAGGAGTAATTAAGGAGAACTATGTACCAGAAGAACCTTTAATACATCATAGAAACACTTTCTATCATGATATTGTGAGAGGAAGTACTCACTATAGGGTGCTTCGGTATAACTGTTAGGATCATACGAAAATATAAAGCACCAGTAGTATAGATTTTTTGTTTCTTAATGTAGAATTATCCTTACAAGCTTTCTGCAACAAATATTTTGCAAGTATCTACTATGTGCCAGGTATTATGCTGGGCTCTGAATATATACTCGTAAATTAGACAGGTCCCCTGTCTTTATGAAGGTTTGGTTTGAGGGAGGCAGGCATTAAACCAGTATCATGCAGTAACTATTACAAATTGTATCTGGTGCTCTGAAGGAATGAGCAGAATGCTGTGTGAGAATAATTAGGGTGGCAAGGTTTGGGATGGGGGGACAGGACAGGAAAAGCAAGTAAGCTGACATGAGTAGGACCAATGGGTGTAAACCAGGAAAAGAGTATAAGAGTAGGGGAAGAACATTCCTAGCAAAAGATATGTATAATGAGGAAAACATTAATTTTGTGTTTGAACACTGAGATTTGAAATTGGAAGATTTCTTACTATTTTATAAGATAAATTCCACAGATTTGATCCCAGTTCCAGGGTAAGGATGCAGCAGGGTATTGTTTGGCCAGTTCAAGTCCACTGGCCAGTCCTCCTGCGTCTGTCAGACCTATTAATACAGATGTCACTGCTCTAGTCATCCCAGCAAGTGACAGCTGCCAACCCCATTTGCAGAGGTCATGTGGAGAATTCCAGCCCTGTAAGGACACATTTCATTCTTAATTGGTAAATTCGAGCTGATTACTATAATTTGAAGATGATAGACACGTGTTGACAGTGTGCCCAAATGTGCATAGTTGAAGCAAAACCACTTAAACTTTGTATCTTATTTAAGCCGTTGTAAGTTGATGATTAGTGTTTAATTTTAATTCTTAAAACTTAGCATTAACAGTAATGACATTATTACTAATTTTTAAGGTAAAAATATTGTGTTCTTAAAAAACTTATTTTAAAATCTGTAGACCTGTATATGTACACCAAAATATTTTCATTTTTTTATTCATTCATGTACATTAAAATTATAAGATCTATTTTTCCTATATTCTGTTGTCTCATAAGAATTTGTATCTTAATAAAAGAAAATTTTTAAATTTCATCCTTTGTCTGAAATATACAACATTAATTACATTTTCTCTTCAGGTAAGTGATTCGTTCTTTGAGGTCGAAGCCCTCATGGAAAAGATGAGGCAGTTACAGGAGTGTCGAGATGAAGAAGAGGCAAGTCAGGAAGAGATGGCTTCACGTTTTGAAATAGAAAAAAGAGAGAGCATGTTTGTCTTCTCTTCAGGTAAAAGCAATCATTACATAGTCAAAAAAATTTCTATTGCTTCAAAAAAGATCCCCACTTTTTTTAATGTTTGTTTATTTTTGAGAAAGAGAATCCCAAGCAGGCTTCACGCTATCAGCACAAAGCCCAACTTGGGGCTTGATCTCAGGAACCATGGGATCATGACCTGAGCCAAACTTGAGTCAGATGCTTAACAGAGTGAGCCACCCAGGTGGGGGTGAGAATTTAGATAAGTTTTTATCTTTTTTTTTTTTTTTTACTTTTATCTTTTAATTTTATTAGAGAATTTAAATAATAGTTTTAAAACATAAATCCAAATATGTTTTTCCTTTTAGATAAGCTATTATTGCATAGGTGTTCCTACCTATAAATAAAGCAGGCAACCTAGAAAAAGAAGTTATAGTATAAATAGCACTAGACTAAAAGAGGACATTTGATTTGGTTTTTATACTAAAATCACTGCTAATAAACTTTGTGAATGTAAGGCACTTAACATATGAATGCTCTCTTTTTTCTCTTCTTTAAAATTAGGATATTGGGGGTGCCTGGGTAGCTCAGTTGGTTAAGCGTTTGACTCTTGAGTTTGGCTCAAGTCATGATCTCACAATTTGTGAGATCAAGCCCCGAGTCAGGCTCTGCACAGCCTGCTGAGGATTCTCTCTCTCCCTTTCTCTCTGCCCCTCTCCCATTCACATACTCTCTATAAATAAATAAACATTAAAGATATTAAATAAAATTAGGAAATTTTATAAGCCCTGAGATTACTTTTTAGCTTTAAAATAAAATGATTTGTGAAATGATTTGTCAGTTGTTAGACAACTGATGACAAATGTAAATTCTTTATGTTTGGCCTTTATATACAGGCTATACAATTTAATATATAAATCAGGTAATTTACAGGAAATGTATTTTGATAACAGAGCGAAAGAGTGTATGTGTTAAATACCAAGTTTCCTAATAGCAAACAAAAAAATCACATTTTTTTCTTAAAGTTTATTTTGAGAAAGCAGGAGAGAGATCCCAAGCAGGCTCCTTGCTGTCAGCACAGAGCCTAGTTTCACAAACTGTGAGATCATGACCTGAGCCAAAATCAGGAGTCAGATGCTTAACTGACTGAGCCACCGAGGCGCCCCAGAAAAAATCAAATTTGTATAAATGAAGGTTGGATGTTATCTTGTTTCTCCTTGAGGAAAAGTTTTTGTTTCTATTTACTTCAAACGAACATGAAAGCAATCCAGAAAGGCTTTAGAGCATTTCAGGAAACACTGTAAAAATGATTCACCATTGCAGTATTGTTTCTAGGACCCTTTGAGGTGTTAGATCATATTATATATTGTAGGACATTAATATTTAACCAGAAATCATTCAAGTGCTAAAGTATAGAGCATAGATGATTTATCACCATAAAGATTATCCAAAAGGGTGTTCAGACTTTGAGTACATGCTTTTAAGTAGAACTGGGAACACAGAGGGTATAGGAAAGAGAAAAATGCAAGGCATAAAAAATTCAACCATGAATATTTTTATAACAGAATCTAATTACATTCCATTTATTGGTAAGTAAGCTACTTTATGGTTTTAAGACTTAAGTTGGTTACTCACTGTCAGAGGGCTATCCTGTTTTTACTTATTATAGGTAAAATGAATTTTAACTAGCATTCTGTTTTTGAAAAGCTTTAAGTGGCTTTTTTTTTTTTTAATTATTTCAGATGATGAAGAAGTTACACCAGCAAGAGATGTATCTCGTCACTTTGAGGATACTAGTTACGGCTATAAGGATTTCTCTAGACACGGGATGCATGTTCCAACATTTCGAGTACAGGTAAAATTGCACATGACTAGTTAGAAATAGTTCCGTCTGACTTAAAATAAGAAAAAGGCCCCTGGATTTGAGAATTCTAGAATGTTGAAGAAGTAACTTTTATCAGGCAATTCCTTTAAATATATTTATTTTATTGTTGAAGTTCATAAATCAGATATCAAAACACGTTCACCCATAAAACTAAATTACAGTAATGGGTTAGGTTCCCAGATGGTGTGCCAAAACTCAAGTTCATAATATATCTAAACAATGAATAATACTAGCATTTATAGCATTGGTTTTTCTCCTCCTCTCCTATTGAGCCCCAGCATTAAAGTGAGGCCCTGATATGCACCAGGCCTGAGTAACAAGAGAAATGTCCCCAGCATCCCAAGCATTATGTAAAAGTGAGTAGAGGGAAAGAGGATGAAAAATTCAAAAGTAAAAGATGTGCTTTTTTTACTTTTTTAGGGAGAGTAAGCTTTTGCTTGGTTTGTTTTCTTTATAACTTGGATGAGTTCTTACAGATAGCACAGACAATAAACCATGACAATTACAGTATCCTAATTCCCTGTGAAATATGTACTGAATGTTATTTGGAGCAATGAACATTTTTGAGGGTTTTAAATTAAACTTTGAGAGGATTCACATAAATAGTGATGTGGGGAGTAGAATTATTTTTGGTAGACCCAGTTTCTTTAGCTCCAAAATCATGAAGTCTGAAATATACATTAAAACTTCCTCTGTATAATTCTGTATCTATTGAGTCTATGGAAACTTAGGGACCTAGTGGTCCTCTAGGATACTACTAGGCTCCTCCTTTGTTCTTGCTTGGTAGGAGGCACTATGCTAAAAGTGCGTTGCAAATATATCTCAGGAGCAACAGTAGCTATATTCTCTGTTTCCACAGTAAAAGTTAAGAATCATCAGTTAATCAATTATTGATTGATTAATTCATCAATTTATTCTGTTCTTTAAGCTTTGTAAGACTGCTCTCAATCCAGTCCATTAATAGAAACATCAGCATAACTGTATTCCTTAAATAGCCTATTGTATAAAAATTTAGGTAAATATTTAATTCAGATGAGTTGTTATTCCCAACTTCCTCAGTTATTGTGAGGGTCCAGTGTTAATAACTATTTTATCAAAATTATGAAAATTTGGGAACTGGAAAATTGTGTTTCTTTGCTCAAGGGATGAAGATGTTTAAAGGGACAAAAATTAGGCACAAGGAAGAGTTACAGAATATTTCTACTTGATAGTATAATTGTGTCATGAAATACAATAATTAGAATTGAAGACATCATGTGGGTTGGAAATGTTATGGCATGAGTTAGGATTTGAGAGATTTGCATGGTCCAAAAGCATGGGCATTGTAAAGCAGAGGAGACTATAAGCAATAATTGAGCTTAGATTGAGGGAAGCGATCATAAAGAAATTGGCTGGGCTGCTGAGTGCTTCAAGCAAAGGATTCCTACTTCTGATTACTGTGAAGCTAGTTTAAAATCGGTCAGGTTTGTAGGTTTTAACCAGAGTAATAACATGTCAAAGAGGTGTTTCAGGAAAATAAATATGAGAGCAACGTAGAAGTAGCATAGGGGCTTATTTTGCTTGAGGTAGAAAGAAAGAAAGCAGGGAGATTTAGTGTAAGAAAACTAATTAGGAGATTCAGTTAATTATGCTAAGAATTAGGAGGTAGGAGGAAAAGGAATGAGTGATGGTTGTATTGAATTAAAAATTTACAAACTTTGAGGACCATTTAAATAGCTGCAGCAATGGAAAGGGAGAGAGGACTTCCAAGATGGGTCATCTCTGGATGCTGAGTGAGGAGACGGTGAGAGAGAGAGAGAGACCTGAAAATGGGTGGCCTGTGTTTAGGAGAGAAGAATTCCACTGGTTTTTAAGCTCACTGAATTACAAAAGGTTTGCATGCTGTAGAGAACATACTAGAAAGGCAGTGGATTCCAACTGCCAGTAATCTCACCTAGGTCTACTGCTTTGCCATATGAACTATACTTGGCCACATTTTAATTATTCACATTTGTTCTGTTCTCTGTATTTAGGACTATTGCTGGGAAGACCATGGTTATTCTTTGGTAAATCGCCTTTATCCAGATGTGGGACAGTTGATTGATGAAAAATTTCACATTGCTTACAATCTTACTTATAATACAATGGCAATGCACAAAGATGTTGATACCTCAATGCTTAGACGGGCTATTTGGAACTATATTCACTGCATGTTTGGAATAAGGTTAGTTTGTTTTCTTATGTTTACAAAGAAATATTTTCCTTTGAGCTAAATTATTCAAGTGCTTGGAACATATATACACAGAGATACACTATATATATGTATATATATATTACATATATGTATAATATAATATTCATAAACCATCCCTTCCCCAATAGCTTATTTTTATGCCACTTATGAGTCAAAGAACCAATTTAATGCAGCTTGGTTTATTTCCTCTCTCCTAGCTAGGCAGAAGGGAAAGTTAGGGACATTGCCTCTGGCCCATAGAGGAAAAGTTTGTCACCAGACATCTTTGATATCTTTTCTCTTTGTATCATCTCCTGTCATCTTGGATCTAAGTACCCTTATAGTGCCCTCCTGGCTATTCTCAAGCTCCTTCTGAAGAGTACCTGCTCCCATGATACTTCATCAAAATGCAAAACTTCCATGTCCTGTTAGGTATTCAGCCATATTATGTTATACAGGAAATGCAGCCATTATATACCACCTTCTAACAGATGTACATAAACACTATGCTATAGGGTTTTCTGATTATTTCAGCTGTAAAATCAGGTTTTCTCTTGCTATTCATTTTATCAGTGACTGGACTATTAGCTTCCAAAATAGTAGTAGAACCAGCTTTGCAAGAGCTGAAACACAAGAGACTTGAGTCCCTGGATGTTCTAGAAACTATAACTCAGTGGAGCAGAGCAGACACTTGTGACTGTTACCATCTTGGCTTAAAGCAGAACAGCTTATCCTAAGTGTAGACACTGTGAGGCTGACTATAAATCATCCTTCCCTCTGGAATAATCATCTGCCAATCCCCCACCATTTTTTTCCTCATCTGATCCCAGAAACTCCTGGAAACATGGGGAAAAAAAAATAATTATTGTTTTCATTTACACAAGTGGATTATGATCTATATATCATGCAGTAGTAACCAGAAATATTAATTTGTGGACTTCTTAATTTTAACAATACTCAAATTGTTTCCACAATTTCCTCAGTGTGATTGCTTCTTTGATCATAAATATATACTGTTGCTTGGGTACTGGCAAATTTTCTATTCATCTCCCTAACTTCTGTTTCTTATCCCCTTTATATTCACTCATTCACCTCCAATTAAACATTATAAAGCAGTTGTTTTTGAGAGATAGCTGCCTACACAGGGAGGGAAGAAGAATACAGCATTTATTAATGTCCATACTTTCAAAAGAAATCAAACTATAAATTGAAAATATATAATTCTCACTTTATCTTTTAACAGATATGACGACTATGACTATGGTGAAATTAACCAGTTATTGGATCGTAGCTTTAAAGTTTATATCAAGACTGTTGTTTGCACTCCCGAAAAGGTTACCAAAAGAATGTATGATAGCTTCTGGAGGCAGTTTAAGCACTCTGAGAAGGTATGTACCTATTGTGGTTTGCCCTGTAACTTAGCAGTGATTCTTACTCTCCTTCATCTAATCTAATGACTCTCAAATCTTTTCCAACCAAGAGAAGAACATTCCAGCACAGCTGTCTCTGGTGTCCCTTGGAAGGGAATCTCATTGTAGTGCTAGAGTAAAAGAATAAAGACAGGGCATCCAGGGCCCCACTTCAGAAGTGCTGGCGTGGCTGTCACTGCTCGGGAGAATTGTTTATAGATATAAATGGTCTGGTCGTTGAACCATCTTGGTTATTAAACTATTAAGTGATGATTTGGCAGGGGAGGTTGGTATTCTAATAAAGCAATGTCTAGATTTTCTGAAATATAACAAACCTCTAAGAAGAGATGTAATCAAATATAAGCTCCGTATCTATCCAAAAAGAGCATCAGATGGCTTTCATTTTGAGACAAATTCAAGACTTCTAAGTTATTCAGTGGCACACAGAAAATTTACTTATTTTGGGGGGATACTAGCACTGAAAAGCTGGGAATGCTTACAACTGTACCTTAAATAATGTGTTTTATATTCAGGTTCATGTTAATCTGCTTCTTATAGAAGCTAGGATGCAAGCAGAACTCCTCTACGCTCTGAGAGCCATTACCCGCTATATGACCTGATGCCTTTCCTCCGTTAAAGATAATGGAATGATCAGCAGATATAGTCTACAAGGGGAAGGTACTAAGCCCCAGGACCAATGGTAGATAAAAGAATTCAGAAATCCATTGTGCCATGATTCCTTTAGTTTCTGCTATGTTACTGTGGAAATACCACTGCTGGCACGAGCAGTGAATGCTTGGCAGCTTCAAGTGTAGAGCTGTGAAGAAGGGCTGCCATTCACAGTATTCACAGTATTTTGCTTTTTGACAGTACAAGATGCTGTATAACTGTTTTAATACAGCAAATAGTAACTCTCCAAATCCTGTTGCTTTTATGTTAAATAAGATAACAAGAATTGGAGCATGCAAAGAATGGGAGTTGGATAATGACATAAGCTTTTTATACGTAAAGAATTTTATTTAGATCCTGGTGCTGCTATTTCTGCTGGTGGAATGAATAGAGTGGCTGTTCCAGTTAAGCTATTAGTAATAAAAGTGAACACTGCTACTATCTGAGCCTACATACATAATTTGCGTGGTTTCAAATTAAACTTGCATATGTGTTAATTTTTTTGCATCTAAAAAAGCCTAGAATTACTACAGCTCGGCAAAGACCATTTCGATGGTAACAGTTCATTTCTTTCATTATAGTTTTTTTTTTTAATTCAGCTATTGGATGACATTAAATTACAGTGGCATTCTTAAAGATTTTCTTCAAAAAGCAATCTTAAATGAAAGTGTATAAATTATAAGAAAGCTAGCTATCTTTTGATATGCTGTTTCCCAAGATTCTCTGACACTGGAGGGCAGCTGTCTTGTGCAGTATTTTGTTTCCAGCACTGAAGTTGTGGGAAATGTTGCTGTAGACTGCTGCGCAGTCCCAGGTGCATTCTGCCCCTCTGCTCCTGCCCACCTCGTGGTCCCCACTTTAAAGATTGTGCAGCTCTTTAAAAATAAAGCTGGAAAATATTTTTAGTCAGGTTATCAAATTTGATTTACAAAAATGCTAACTTTGGGAAAAAATGTATTAAGTACTTTGTATTCTGGAAGTGTGAATTGCTTTTGAAGTCTGTCAGTATTATTGGCATTTTTCAATAAATCATTTTTTCTCCAATTTTATGTGCTGTCTCAATCTCATGAAAAATTATGACTTCACAATCAATTACCATTCTGAAGTTCCGTTTACTTTTAATAGCCAAGCAGATTCACAAATAATGCTGTAATCAGATGAGAGACTATTAAATGGCAAACTCTCAATGCCATTTTAAAGGTTACAAAGAGTGGACTTTCATGATCTCATGTAAGACTTTTATGGCCCCATGCCTTGTCCCTTTTGAATGGAGATGTTTTAGAGTTCAAATAAGAATCATTAGAAACTGTAACATGCAGCTCTTGATCTCAGGTCCAGGCCCCACACTGGGTGTACAGATTACTTAAAATCCTTTTTAAAAAAGTTATAAACAAGGACTAGAGTGACAACAGGACAGAAAATGGCACTGTCAAGTAGAAATAGCTCTAGTTTTAGAACAAACTGAGGGTTGTTGGGTGGAGGGACAGGCTAAATGGACAAAGGACATAAAGGAGGACACTTGTTGAACACTGGATATTATATGTAAGTGATGAATCATTAAATTCTATTACTGAAATAAAAAAAAAAGGGGGGGAGGTGCTAACATCTTGTTTGATGGTAATAAACACACGTTATTGCTTGAAAGGCCCTGCAAGTAGCATAGGTGGATTTAGCAAATTGTGACTTTGTCTTTACAATAAAGATTTGCCACCAAATATTTTATAGTACATATACATAGCTACAGTTTAAATCCTGGAACTTTATTAATTTGTAGTATGTTTTAATTTTAACATATTTATAAACAACTTTATAGTCTTTTAATCTATATATCATTACATTTAGTAGACTTATAAGCTTAATTTACCGTTACTGGTTAGGAATGCATATTTAACTTCTTCAGATGAATATTGTTGATATGCTTTTACTTCAGAGGACACTAAAAAAAAAAAATGTAGCAGGTAATAAAAATATTCATGTCCAGCAAGGGAAAAATCTAGATTTAATCAAATCTGTTATAATGTTACTCATCAAAACATTTTAGCTCAGTCTAGTACCTAGTAATTTATAATGTGTGGGTGAGAGTAGGGAGGCAAAATGGTTCCTACCTTCAAAGTTCTATATTCTGGTGAGAAGACAAGACTATTAAATTTCTTTAATTATAAAATATATTGATAAGTCCGTTTCTTTTTTAAATATTTTTGAGAGGGCAGAGAGAGGGAGACACAGAATCCTAAGCAAGCTCCAGGCTCTGTCAGCACAGGGCCTGATGTGGATCTCAAACTCATGGACCTCAAGATCATGACCTGAACCAAAGTTGAACACCCAACTGATTGAGCCACCCACATAAGTCCATTTCTAATTAGCTTACAATAATATATACATGGTCCTACACATTGAATTTACATCATGCCTTTGCCCTTTTCTGTCTACTGTAGAGTTATAGCAATACAGGTGAACCCAACAAGTTTACATACACTGTACATAGTTAAAATTTTATTCATTTTGCTTAGTTCTTTGTACTTCTTAAAAATAGAAGATCAGGCTGGGGCGCCTGGGTGGTGCAGTGTTAAATGCGATCGACACAACCGGATCATCTCGCGGTCTGGTAGAAGGCAGCGATGGGGCTCTGGGCTGATGGCTGGGAGGGAGCCTGGAGCCTGTTCGATTCTGTCTCCTCTCTCTCTGCCTCCCCATGCTCTGTCTCTCTCTGTCCCAAAAAATAAATGTTGAAAAAAAAAAAAAAAAAAAAAAATAGAAGATCAGGGCACCTGGGTGGCTCAGTTGGTTAAGCATCTGACTCTTGATTTCAGCTCAGGTCATGATATTGTGGTTATGTTAAGCTCTACAACTTCCTCATAAAGTCACAACTTTCAAGGGCAGAAGACACAGCTGACTTTCTTGACACAGACACAGAGAGGCAAGACAAAATGAGACAGAGAAATTTATCCCAAATGAAAGAACAAGCCAGGACCACAGTCAGAGATCTAAGCAAAACAGATATAAGTAACATGCCTTGTAGAGAATTTAACTTAATGGGCATAAGTATACTCACTGGACTTGAGAAAAGAGTAGAAGACATGAATGAAACCCTTAACACAGAGATAAGGAAAAACATAGCAAAGATAAAGGGCACAAGAAACAAAATAAGAAACACACTTGAGGTAATGAACAGCAGGATGGAAGAAGCAGAGAAACGAATTAATGACATAGAAGACAGAGTAATGGGAACCTAAAAGAGAGATAAAAGAATTATGCAAAACAAGAACAGGGAACTCAGTGATTGCACCAAATATAGCAACATTCATATTATAGAAGTCCCAGAAGAAGAGAAAAGGGGACAGAAAATTTATTTGAAGAAACAATAGCTGAAATTTTCCCTAAACTAAGTAAGGAAACAGATACCCAGATCCAGGAAGCATACAGTACCCACAACAAATCGACAAAAGCAGACCCACCAAGACATAATTAAATTTGCAAAATACAGCATTTAAAGTTTTTTTTTAATTTAACACTTATTTTTGAGAGGGAAAGAGAGGGACAGAGTGTGAGCAGGAGAGGAGGAGAGAAAGAGGGAGAGACAGAATCTGAAGCAGGCTCCAGGCTCTGAGCTATCAGCACAGAGCCCAATGTGGGGCTCAAACTCATGGACTGTGAGATCATGACCTGAGCTGAAGTCAGCTGCTTAACCAACTGAGCCACCCAGACATCCCAATAAAGAAAGAAAATCTTAAAGAAACAAAAGAAATCATTAACTTACAAGGGAAAATCCGTAAGGCTACCAGATTTTTTTTTTTTAAACCAGGAGATTTTTCAACAGAAACTTTGTAAGCCAGAGGGAGTAGCATGGTATATTCAAAGTGCTAAATGGGAAAAATCTACAGCCAAGAATACTGTATCCAGCAAGGCTGTTATTCAGAATAGAAGGAAACATAAAAAGTTACCCAAACAAAAACTAAAGAACTTCATGGCAACTAAACCAGCTCTACAAGAAATATTAAAAGGGACTCTTTGGAAGGGAGAGACAAGGGGCACCTGGGTAGCTTAGTCGTTTGAGCATCTGACTCTTGATTTTGGCTCAGGTCATGATCCCAGGGTGGTGGAACTGAGCTCTACGTCAGGCTCTATGCTCTGGATAGAGCCTGCTTAAGATTCTCTCTCTCTCTCTCTCTCTCTCTCTCCCCTTCTGCCCCTGCCCACCACTTTTGGGCCCTTTCAAAAAAAAAAAAAAAAAAAAGGGGAGGGACAAAAAGTGACAGTGTAGAGGTGGGAAACACAAAAGCCATAAAAATGAATATTTCTGTAAAAAATCAGTCAAGGAACTAATGAAAAAAGGATATAACATATACCTAAAACATGGGGAGGAGAAAAGAATGAGTTCAAATGACCATCAACTTAATATAGACTGCTATATGCAGAAAAAGTTATATACAAACCCAATGGTAACTATGTATCAAAAAATACTAATATGCAAAGAAAAAGGATGAAGAAATCCAAATATATCACTAAGGAAAAGCAGCAAAACATGAAAGGGAGAAAGACAAGAAAGGATCAGAGAAATCTTCAGAAGCAACCACAAAACAAGTAATGAAATGACAACAAATACATCAATAAATCAGTAGTTACTTTGAATGTAAATAAACAGTCCAATCAAAAGACACAGGATGACAGAATGGATAAAGGAAAAAAAAAAGGCCCATCCATATGCTACATACAAGGGACTCATTTTAAACCTAAAGACACCTGCATACTGAAAGGATAGAGAAACATCTATCATGCCAAAGGATGTCAAAAGAAAGCTGGATAGCAATTCTTATATCCAACAAAGTAGATTTTGTTTTAAAACAAAGACTGTAACAGGGGTGCCTGGGTGGCTCAGTTAAGTGTCCAACTTTGGCTCAGGTCATGACCTCACAGCTTATGGGTCTGAGCCTCACATCAGGCTCTGTGCTGACAGTTCAGAGCCTGGAGTCTGCTTTGGGTTCTGTGTCTCCTTCTCTCTCTGCCCCTCCCTGGCTCACACTCTGTCTCTGTCTCTCAAAAAATAAATAAATGTTAAAAAAATTTTAGTAAAAATAAAACTAACAAAAGACAAAGAAGGACACTATATATCAATAAAGGGGGCAATCCAACAAGACGACATAACAATTGTAAATATTTATGCACCCAACATAGGAGTGCCCAAATACATAACACAGTTAATAAAAAACATAAAGGAACTAATCAATAGTAATACAATAGTAGGGGACTTTAACATCCCACATACAACAATGGACAGATCTAAACAGAAACTCAACAAGGAAATAATGGCTTTGAATGACACACTGGAACAAATGGATTTAACAGATATTTTCAGAACATTCCATCCTAAAACAGAATACACGTTCTTTTCAAGCGCACATGGAACATTCTCCAGAATAGATCACACATGTTAGCCCACAAAACAAACCTGAACAAATTTCAAGATTGAAAATTTTTTCTGACCACAACACTATGACACTAGAAATCAATCACAAGAAAAAATTGAGAAAGAACACACACGGAGGTCAAAGAACATGCTACCAAACTATGAATGGGTCAACCAGGAAATAAAAGACAAAATGAAAAAGTACATGGAAACAAATGAAAATGAAAACACAATGGTCCAAAACCTCTGAGATGCAGCAAAAGAAGTTTTTAAAGCAAGACTATAGCAATACAGGCCTACCTCAAGAAACAAGAAAAATCTCAAATAAACAACCTAACCTTGCACCTAAAGGAGCCAGAAAAAGAACAAAACATAAAATCAGGGGCACCTGGGTGGCTCAGTTGGTTAAGCATCCAACTTTGGCTCCAGTCATACCTCACAGTTCATGGGTTCAAGCCCCATGTTGGGCTCTGTGCTGACATCTCAAAGCCTGGAACCTGCTTCGGATTCTGTTGTCTCCCTTTCTCTCTGCTCCTCTCCCACTCATGCTCGG